TTTCGATTTCGACAGTGGTGTGGCGAGGCCCTAAGACGCGAAGAGGAGGGCAAGGGCCTCTCTCCACACTGCTCACCGAATGCATAAAAGACAAAACAAAAATTATGGCGGTGTATCTTCTTATGTTCTAGCGGAAGATTCGTTCTCATTCATTTTGCACGTTTTCGTGACTACCGTAGTGGAGCGCGGCCCGCTACGTGCCTCGCCACACCACTCTCGAAATGTGAAAAGACAAAAATGTGGCAGGTGCATCTGGCCATGTTCTAGCGCGAAGTTCAGTGTCATAAAAAAGACAAAAATGTGGCGGGAGCATCTCGCCATGTTCTAGCGCGAAGTTCAGTGTCATTTTGCACATTTCGAGAGTGGTGTGGCGATGCCCTAAGCGAGCTGGGGGGAATGACGCGAGGAAAGAATGGGCCCACTACTGACCACATGGACAAACGACAAAATACGTTGGTGTATCTTTCCATGTTCTAGCGGTGGATTCATTCATCATTCTCATTTTGCATATTTGCGCATTCGGTGAGTAGTGGAGCGTGGGGGCGGAGTCGTTGTGTGTGCGAGAGAGAGAGAGAGAGTCGTTGTGTGTGCGAGAGAGAGAGAGAGAGAGAGAGAGAGAGAGAGAGAGAGAGAGAGTTGGGGGGGCATTGTCATCGTTGGCCCAATAGCGTTGGCAGTACGGCGAAATCGTCGAAGGTTCCTTCCGTCCTGAGGGCATAAAAAGAAGAAAACCTTCAGTCCTGATTTCAGTATATATATAAATATATATATATTTGTTTGACGATATATATACGTATTAACATATATTCATATATAACTGTCCGACATGTGTTGATTGAAATTGGAAGAAAAATAAAAAATAAAAAAAAATGGAAGAATACGGGGAAGATTAGGGGGATGACATGCATAACTCGAACTCAGGGCATACTCACACTAGGACCTTTTTCCGTATTCGTGGGTGGAAATGCGGCCAAATGCGTACAGGTCCGGTTGAAAATGCGGTCAGATACATTTAGGATTGTGCAAGTGTGAGTACGTCCTCAGTCTATCTACCCGGCATGATCAGGGGTGAGGTCCCACTAGCAAAGAGGGTTGGATAAATATCGTGAATCTGGACGTCTTTAACGCAGAGATTCCGAAAAGCAGTTCAATCGCGACATTCTGAACGTTTCCACAAAGAAGTCCAGATTCAGGTGTTCAATCCAATCTTCTTTCCTAGTGGGACCTCGCCCCAGAGGAGTTAGTGAGATATAAGTGGCAGCAGCTACACACGAGCAGCTCCGAAGTTCCGTTCAATCCGAATCCGAATCCGGATCCGAATCCGAATTCGCAAATTTGCATCTGGTTGCTGAAGGTCGGCCGGGTGATCACCTT